AACTACTGAGTTCTTTCTATAGATAAGAATTGGTATTTGGAAAGAAACACAGCCATTGTCCCTTTGTTTCCGGCAATCTGCCATAAAGGTAGGGGATTAGTTCATAGTTTATATATATATATTTATCATGATATATATTTGTATATTCCATATGATGTAGATTATGTATTTTGTATATTCAGGTTTCCATTTATTCAAGTTGCCAGTTTTCTGAGCCTTAGCCCCTCTAATCCTTCCTGCTTTGAGGTAGGAACTACTCCCATTTAACAGGTGAAAAGACAAAGGCACACAAAGATTAAGTAATTTGCTTAAAATCACAAAGCTCATAGGAAGGCTGGGTCTGGAATGCAGTTCTACAGGTCTGCGAAGGCTGTGCTTTTAACCATCACATTATACAACCCCCACTCCACACACACACACACACACACACACACACACACACATCCTTCCAGTAAACAACACAAGTAAGGGCTATGGGCAGCAGGCAGCACAGTGATTCAGAGGAAAGCCATACCTAGAGCTGGAGAAGCAGAGGCGCGGCCGCGGAGAGAGTCACACTGGATTGGAATCTTGAAAGACAGAAATGGAGGATCAGGAAAGTGTCGTTCTAGGCGGAGGCATTTTCCCCTCCCGGGTACTAATATGGCATGGAGGTCCCTGGGTCCTCTTCTATAAAGGGCCGAGACAGACTGACTAACCCACAAGAATGAACCTGACAGTATTGTATGATTAGAAGGAAATCTGAGCAATTCGAAGGAAGGGAAGCATTCTTTCTTTCTTATCATTACTGGCTCCCCTCTTCTGCTGTTCGGCAATAATTTTAAAAAGGAATAAGAAAAGAAAGAAATCTGTTCTTAAATAAAACCTAAGAGGACAATGAACTACTTTTAAAAAAAAAATTACAGCACTCACGGAAGAGGAAAATGTCTCTGGGTTAGGAAACTGGGCCAAACTTACAGTAATAATTGTGTCACGGGTGTGGAATTAAATTTCAATTTAGAAGTGGAGAAAAGCCATCAAGAGAAAAAAGTGACAAGGGAATAAAATGAACCAGACGAATTCATGAAGGAAGTGAATCAGTAGGTCTTTGGCTTTAACAGTTTAATCATGTTTGAAGTAAAAACATTTACTTATGGATTTTTTTTTCCCTTAAAAAAAAAAAAGGAAGGAAGGGAGGAGGGAGAGAAGGAAGGAAAGAAGGATGAAAAGTTTCATTTGCCCTTGTTTTTTTCCCAAGCTATAATCATATATATGCGATGGGATATTTATTGTGAAATGCTTAGTAACAATTTACTAATAAGATGGGGAGAGGGATGATCTTTTACTTTAGTTCTTCTTTATCCCCAAGGATCTGAAAAAAACAAAAACCCATCGCTTTCTTCAGCCATCTGCTGTCTCCAGTTCTGCTCATCCTATTCTCTCTTAAACCTACTCTCACCAAGGTGGCCTGTGACTTACATGTTACTAAATCCCAGGCTCAATGATCAGGCCTCATCTAATTTGAAAGCTGCGCTCACACACTTGCTCATCCTCTCTCATAGGCTCCCGTCGTTTCTAGGATACCACGCTCTCTGGGTTTTCCTATCTCCCTAGCTGCTCCTTCTCCGTGTCCTTTTCCTGACCTCTTAATGTTAGTGAGTCCCCAGGATTCAGTTCTTTTAATTCTAGATATACAGTCAGGTGACCCTTAGTAATCACATGTATTATTCTCTTGATTTTAAATACCATCCACAGGCAGCCAGCTCCCAATTATCAGTGTATTTCCACCCCAGCCCTCTTTCCTAAACTCCAGGCTCAACTATCCAATCACTGACTTGACATTGTCCCTCAATGTCTAATGAGGATCATTTATTTAACATGCCCAAACTAAGCTCCTAATACCCTCGACTCATCCTCACACCCACAGCCAAAAGTGAGAAAAAACTTACTTCACTCACAGATCTCCACTCTGAGTTTATGGCAACTCCATCCTTCCAGTTGCTCAGGCCTAAAATCTTGGAATTTTCCTTAACTTTTCTCTCTCTCTGATGCCTCCCTTAAATCTGTCAGCAAAATCTATTGGCTTTACCTTCAAAATATGCCTAGAATTTAACCACTTCATACCCCTTTCTCGGATATCACCCTCATCCAAAACACCATCACATCATCTCCTACTTGGATGGCAGGAAAGCCTAACTGATCCCCTGGCTTACCCCTGCCCTTCACAGTCTGTTGTCAACACAGCAAGAATGTTCCTTTTAAAACCCAAGACAGATCACGCCTCTTCTATGACAAAATCCCTGCAATGGCTCTCCCTCTCTTATACCCAAAGCCACCATCATTCAATGGCACATAAGACCCTATGACATCTGTCTTTGCAACAATACCCACTCCTGCCCACCTCTCTAAGCCCCCACCAACTACTTTTTTTTCCTTCAATAACTCTGCTCCAGCCACCCTGATCTCTTCGCTTTTCCTCACTCTATATACTATGTAACTGACTTATGTATTATGTTTATTGTCATCCTCCCTTGACTTGTTAGCATGTAGGCAGAATAAGTATCTACAAGGCGGGAGTCTTTGCTTTGTACGCTGACATTTCCTAAGAGACCAGACAGTGAGAGGCATATAACAGGTGCTCAAACCAAAACTGCTTAATAATGAATGAATTTCTAGTCTCTTGGCAAACCACAGAGCCCAGCCACATCACTGGATTTGTTCCACTGAGAATCTTACTACATTCCTTCCTCTTAAAAATAGTCTATGCCACTTACCCATCCATTAATCATCCACTCAAAATAAATGTTAGCAACTACAATATGCCATGCACAGGCATCAGGGATAGAAGTAAAAGGCCGAGGCTTTGGTTTTACACAGGACAGAGAGACAAGAAATCATATGAAAATAATTCAGCCAGTTGACAGCTTCAAAGAAGAACACCATCAAACTGACCAGGGCTGGAGAGGCAGGGGCCACCAGGAAAGACTCTCCAGAAGATGCACTCCTTGGGTGGAGTTAGTTAGGGAGGAAGGTTGGTAGGGACTGCAGTGATGGCGAACCTATGACACACGTGTCAGAGGTGACACGCGGATTCATTTTTTTGCTTGATTTTTCTTTGTTAAATGGCCTTTAAATATATAAAATAAATATCAAAAATGTAAGTCTTTGTTTTACTATGGTTGCAAATATCAAAAAATTTCTTTATGTGACATGGCACCGGAGTTAAGTTAGGGTTTTTCAAAATGCTGACACGCCGAGCTCAAAAGGTTCACCATCACTGGACTAGGGAGGAAGAAGGAAGGAAGGGTCATTCCAAGCAGAGGATACAGCTTGTCAAAGCACGGCCAGTCTATAGAAGCATGCAGCCGTGGGGAACCTCAGGCAACTCAGTGTGGCTCCAGTCCACAGTGTGGAAGTCAGGGGATACGTGGAGGTAGAAGGGTCTCCTTCTACTCACACTGCATGGTTTGACTTAATCCTGAAGTTAAGGGGTAGCCATGCAAGTTGCCTTTTAGAAATATCTGGTAACAAGTAGTGTGGTAAAATGAAGCCTTTAGAAAGACTACTTAGATAAGAGTAGAATTTTAATTAAGAGTTCGAAAACTGGTATAAATGGACTTAAAATAATTTGGCAATTATTATTATTTAGCTTTTTTTTCAGAAGACACAAAAGAAGAGAAATTAAGAGAAAGACACTCAAAAAGTTTTAAACACGCCCTGGCCGGTTTGGCTCACTGGATAGAGCGTCGGCCTGGGGACTGAAGGGTCCCAGGTTTGATTCCGGTCAAGGGCATGTACCTTGGTTGCAGGCACATCTCCTGTAGGGGGTGTTTGGGAGGCAGCTGATCAATGTTTCTTATCATTGATGTTTCTACCTCTCTATCCCTCTCCCTTCCTCTCTGTAAAAAATCAATAAAATATATTTTTTTAAAAAGTTTTAAACGCATCCTGATTCAACTGTTCATAATGAAAACCACCATCAATGTCATTTTTTACTCCATGGGGAGCTCATAATGATAATACAACAGAGGTCTCACACACCAAAAAAAAAAAAACTGAATCCATTCATCATCTCCCCACTCCCACTCTCTCTTGAACAGTTCATATTTTTCTTTCCAAAAGACATCAACACTGAATAGTTACTTGTCACTAGAGTTCCGGTAATCCTCCTGGCATTGCAACAGAAAATTGTTCTTTGTCCTAAAGCAAGGGGAAGGTATTGCCTGAATCACAGGAATGGTTACCTCAACCAACCATTTTACTTTGCGAGGGCACAAAAGCTCTTTCTCCATTGTCTACTTTCACAACATGCCTTGCTGGCCAAGTCTTAGACATTAGTTTGGTTTGTAAGACCATTTTAGGCAATTGGAAAAGAACCAGAACTACCTCTGGCATTGATCCAGAACTGAACTTCCTTTTTGCAGGTAAATGAAAGCCACAGGTTCTCTGTTCTCCAGTTTCAATCACACTGCCTTAAAATTGGTTAGAGTACTTTTACCTCTCCCCAGGTATTTATTCCAGACGTGCAAAAGGAGAAATAAAAACTTTAGGTACCAGAGCCAAAGACCTATTTCTTTTTCAGGGTATCAACTGGAATTCAGAAAGCTGATGAAAAATCAAAGCACAAAACATTCTTGCCAACAATATCTGTGAGCGTGTGCGAGTGCGAGTGTGTGTATGTGTGTGTGTGTGTGTGTAATTTACAAATTCCAATCTACCTAAGAAAAGCAAGGAGGGAAAAATAAGAGGAAATCTAAGCTGGAAGGAGAGCTAAATATGGCTCCAAGCACACAGAGCAAGGCTCATAAAATAGGTCGGAGAGGGTGTGTGTGTGTGTGTGTGTGTGCGTGTGCACATGTGCTTGAACAACTGGTTGTACATATACACAACCTGACTATATGTTGTCTGCCTAACTTCTCTGTTATAAAATTATTTTATCAAACTAGCCGCAAATAGAACTAAAAGTCACTTTTGAAGACATTTTGAAAATATTTACTGAACTTCCAAAAAATGATACTAACCCTTTGGAACAAATTGTTGCTTTTGATGGTTCGTTTCAAAATGTCTAATGCTGGCACATGACACTGCGAAGCTTGAAGTCTAAGTGCCCACTCTAAAATGTGTTCAAAGGGGTTTTCCTTCTGGGGTCCTCTCACTCAATTGTGAAGTGTTTGTCTATGAAGTTAAAAAAAAATACTAGTTTCACAAGGATTGCCCAATTGTTATGAATTGAAATCTCTACCCTCTGGGCAGACTTTTTATAGAGAAAGAAGGAAGGCTTCTTATTATTTAGGTAATAAAAGGTTATAGATCATTCTTTAAATCCTGCTGTTACTTTTCCTCTAAATAAGGATACATTTTTAACTCATAGGATTTCTTGGAGAGACGATGGAATCAAAATGGTTGTTTTTTTGTTTCCCTAGGAATGATGACCTAAGGAGACGGGACAATTCAAATATAACAAAGTATATATATGTATGTGTGTGTGTGTGTGTGTGTGTGTGTGTGTATGTGTGTATACACACATATTAAAAAATAAACAATCTGAAATTTGTGGTTTGGGGATTTCTTACTTCAAATAGCAAATCGGTTAAAAAATATGTGACGCCTGATTTCCTTTTATACCACTTTAATTTTTTTACTTATTACTAAAAACAAACAAAACAAAAAGCACACACAAATGAACAAAACCCAATCCCCTGACAGCTTCCTCTAATGTGGTAATGATATCGAAAGCCATCATTTTTATAAACATATTTGATTCCAAATGGAAGTGGCAGCACTAGCAAGCTGGAAAATCGGCTTTATCTCGAATAAGGAGTTTGTTCAGAAGGAAAAGACAAAAAGGACCCAAGTTTAAAAGAAAAAAGTATTAGAGACTTAAGAAAATGTATTTGGTTTTCTCATCTGTTAAATAAAAATAGTCCTAGCACCTACCTCACAGGGTTGTCATGAGGATTAAATGAACTCACACAAGCAAAGCACCGAAAACAGTGTCTAGGCCCATACTGAGTGCTCAATAAGTATCAGTGCTAATTATTAACACTATTGGCGATGCCTCATGTGGCTAAACCATCTTTTACTTTCTCAGAAGGGAAAGCAGTCTTAAGGGGATCATGATCTTCTGAAAATTTTGATAGCACTAGTAATGATAGCCCTATTTCACAGAGGGAGTACACTAAAAAACTGTTCATGATTTCTCAAATTCAGAAGAGGTAATTACAGAGGAATTGGTGTTTCTGATTGGTGAAGGAAAGCTATCATCTAAAAAAGAGAGATAACGCTTGTTCTGCATGTTCCAGAGAGTTGGACTTGAATTAGATGGTGAAAATTACAGGGGGAACTGTCTGCTCAGTACAAGACTCTCCAGCATCTGGAAAGGGAACCTTAATGTCCTGTTGGTGGGATTGTATTAAAATGGTACAGCCACTATGGGAAACAGAATGAGGCTCCTCAAAAAAATTAATGGCCAGCAATCCCACTTTTAGGTATTTATCTGAAGAAATCCAAAACACTAATTTGAAAAGACATATGCACCCCCTATTTCATTGCAGCATTATTTTCAATAGCCAACATATGGAATCAATCTAAGTGCCTAATGATAGACAAATGGGTAATATTCCATACATACAATGAAATATTACTCAGCCATAAAAAAGAATGAAATCTTGCCATTTGTGACAACGTGGATTGACCTAGAGGGTATCATGCTAAGTGAAGTACGTCAGACACAGAAAGGCAAATACCACATGATTTCACTTACATGTAGGATCTAAATAAATAAATGAACACGACAGAAACTCATAGATACAAAGGACATTTTGATGGGTAGTTCGATGGGAGGGTGACCTGGGTGAAAAAGGGGATGGGATTAAGATGTAAAAATTGCCAGTTATAAAAACAGTCACGGGGATGTGAAATAGAGGAGAGGGAATATAGACAATAATACTGTAATAACTACCTATGGTGTCAGTGATCACTTTGTAAGTTATATGAATGTCTAACCACTAGGCTGTATATCTAAAACTAGTTTATAATATTGTATGTCAACTGAAATTGAAAAATGAAAACAAAAAGATTCTCCAACATCCAAAACACTCTCCCTTATACTAGGATAGATTGCCTCGAAGGGGAGAAAGTATAATGTTACTGTGTGTGAAAGCAGGAGTTTCATCAATCAAGAATGATCAAAGATTCCTTATTGAATCCACAACATTATTGCTGTTGTTAACAACAATGACAACCACCACCACCACAATAATGATAGTGAACACATCTACAGAAATTGCCCCAAATTACTGTAAAGACTTTACATATAGTGACCCATGGCATCCTTACCACCGTCATCCTCACCACAGCCACCTGGCTCCACAGTCTGTGTTCTTAACCACAATATACTGCCTACCTCCGTTTTGGAATGCTGAGCAAGTTACTTAACCTCTCTGCGCCTCTATTTCTTCATTAATAAAATGAGGACAATAATAGCACTTAGATGATAAAGAGTAAATGAAATATCACGTTTGTTTAGCACCTAGAACAGTGCCTGACATACAGCAAGTACTTAGCATATAACTTTTATATAAAGGTCATTTCAACTTTTAAGAACTTTTTTTTAATGTGGACAACAAGTTAGGGAAGGCATAAAGGACTGTGTTGGCTGTAGTGAGCAATCTGACTCACTCCCCCCCCCCCTTTTTATTTTATACAAATTTTTTAAAAATCAATTTTTCTTTTTAAAAAAATCAAATAAGTGAAACTCAAAGCATGCTGATGTGGGACTGATTTTTTAACTAAACAAATAGCCATGAAAAGTTAGGGCAAAACTGCTAATGCGAAAGTTCCACAGTGAGATCAGATTCTCTGTACGCTTTGTCATGGCTGATTGAATGTAATCTCCCATAACCCACTGCTGACTACTCTTACTATCCCCAAGACCCTGGCCCTTCATTCAATTCCATTTTCAGCAGAATCCCTAATTGCTTCACACACCTAATACTTAACCAACTCCCAAACCTAGGCCATTCCAATCCACTTCATTTTTACCTGCAATCTAACTGCAACCTGGCACCCAATACGGCCTCATCAACCTTCTCAAAGAGGCAACATTAAAACTTTATTTCACTCAAGCTTCCAGGTCTACTCTTGCTCCACCCTCAAATATTGTAGATTCCTCAATAATTGGAAAATAGAAGCATTCAGATACAAATTCTCTTTTCATATACTTTCCTCCATACTCCTAAAGTCCTGCAATAGCAAATCAATTCAAATTTGCTGATCTTTGCCTAGCTGTTCCATCTTCCATCCCTTTCCTGTTCTAAATAATAAAAATAAATTCTTCAAGATCTCCTTTCTAAGACCAACTCGTTCTTCTAGCCCCTGATGCTACCCAGAAAATGTAGGTGGACATCACCATCTGGTTGGTTTTTTGTCCTGGCTATTATTCCCGTCGCCCACCTCTCTCTTGGATCTTCAAACCTTTACTACCCACCCATACACATGCCATCAAAAAAATGAATCTCAATCCTGTTTCCCTCATAAGCCTTGACCCTTCCCCAATTTTACTGCCACATGTCTAAGAGTGGTCTCTTGCTATAGGTATATAACTGGCTGAACTAATAAATGGAATCATTGGAAGGCAACCTGATACAGGTTATTCTTAATTATAATCAATCTTTTAAATATGCTTAACGGTTTTGACATCCAACAACTGCAAATTTAGTGACCATTAATTATTTTTCCCATTGTGTTTTAAACAAAAATAATAAAGGAAAGTATGCCACAGACATTTGCTATATATGACAAACTATACTGTAACTAAATGTTATGTGCTTTGGGACTTCTAGCACAAAGTTTACAGATTAGCGATATTAATACCCCCCAAAATGTTTTTTTGAAGGATAATTCTTGCAAGATCTAAGTCCTTACATTGTGATTGTAGTTATGAACAATAACATAATAGTGTAAACTATCTATATAAACTCTTAGAGACACATTTGATTTAAAACTTACTGCCTCTATAGAAAAAGGAGTTTACAGAAATAAAGGTTTCTCTATGTTTCTCTATCCAGGGATGGGAAGCCTTTTTTCTGCCAAGGGCCATTTGGATATTTATAACATCTTTTGGAGGCCATACAAAATTATCAACTTAAAAATTAGCCTGTTGTACTTGGTCAAACATTTAATTAACTCACCCCTAATGCCTTGGCAGGGCCAGAACCAAATGATTTCGAGGGCCCAGCTCATGGGGCTGGACGTTCCCACCCCTGCCTATACCTTCAAGGAAATGATCTGGCAAAAAGACCTAAAATAGGAGAGAACATAAAGTATTTGACAAGCAACCAAGCCATGGAAGGTGGAGCACAGAAAACAAGGGGAGGAGAGGCAAGGGCAATTTCCCTGGGCCTCTGGGACCAGAATCCATACATGTTGATAGCATGACACCAGGAAGTAACTGCAAAGCTTTAAAGCTGGGAGAAGGAAGGGTCAGATTTGTAATTTTTCAAGAATTGCTCAGGTTGCTATATGGAAAATAAGTGGTTAGCCAACCAGAGCAAGGGTGAAGGGGACAACTGGGAATCAGAAGGCAGCATCAGAAGCCTACGAGGGAAATATCCTAGATCAGGGTGGCAGTAGAGAAGAAAGAAGATTCTAGAAGAAAAAATCAGTAAGATTTGGGGAATGATTAGCTATGGGGGAAAGAAAGAAGAGAGATGTAAATGACATGTTGGTTTCCTGAATTTATATACATATATACATGAAAATGTCGAATAACACATCTTGCACAATATATACAGAATTATTGAAATTACCTTCAAGAAGAAAAGATGAATTTTACATAGTAACAGACAGACTTTCAGTTTTTACTATATGGATATCTATTTAAATACTGCTTAAGTATTTTTATAATCAGCACATTACTTCATCATTAAATTCACATGCAATAAAAAAATAAAAATAAAGCATTTGCCTGCCTGAAAAGGATAGAAAGAGTATTTTAAGGAGAAGGAACAATCTATCAGAAGGTACAAACACATGAAAGTGTGTGGCATATTTAAAGAATATCAAGTAGTGTAGTGTTTGCAGTAAGAAGGATGTGTATTGGGCAGGATGAACAGGGGATTAAAGCTTCTAAGAGTATGGCCAATTCATTAAAACAAAAACAAACAAAAAACACACCTTCTATGTTAAATTAAAGAAAGTATTCCTTAAACTGTAGGAAATGGGGAAGCATATAGTTTTTAAGCATGAGAGTGAAAAATCAAGTTCCTATTTTAGAAAGATCACATTAAAGGCAGTGTGAAGACTGGGCCAAGAGAAGATACGAAGATAGGCTGGCAGATCACTTCGGCCAGAATTTAAGCTATATCAGTGGCAACAGAGATACAAAAAGGAAGAGATTTTTGAGTTTCATTTCAGAAGTAGACAGGACTTGGCGATTAAGCTGGATGTGATAAGGAAAAGGAAGAGTCAAGGATGTTTCCCATGGTTCCTAGTTTAGGAAATTAGGTAGTGGTGACGTCATCAATTTAGGCAATTCAACAACAGGTTCAACGAGAAGACAATCGATGTTGCTTTAGAGAAGTTGAGATTAAAGTACCTCTGGAGCCAGGTCAAGGTGCCCAACAGGAAGTTAGATATAAAAGTTTGAATATGAAGAACAAGATCAGACATGGGTATTTGAATACTATTACCTCAAAGAGAGAATGTCAAGCCTCTGCACATGATCTTACCCTCGACGTAATTTCACTGAATTCTTGAGGCAACTGTTGAAAGTTGACCAGTTTCATTTATTCTCATAGTTGTAAAAATTCCACATAATTGTTAAAGTCTCTGTAGGCAATAACTTTTAAAAGCCAGAGTTGCCAGATTTCCTTCCTTCCTTCCTTCCTTCCTTCCTTCCTTCCTTCCTTCCTTCCTTCCTTCCTTCCTTCCTTCCTTCCTTCCTTCCTTCCTTCCTTCCTTCCTTCCTTCCTTCCTTCCTTCCTTCCTTCCTTCCTTCTTCCCTCCCTCCCTCCCTCCTTCCCACCCTCTCTTCCTAGTTAAGATGATATAAGAACTATAATATAAAACACTTTGTTATTAAATATTTTCATATTTTGTCTTAATTGTAAAAGGCAAAAAAAGGGAACATTTCACAATTCTACCTTTAACAAAACCTAAGTCAAATACTGATTTACCTACGTGACTCTCCACTGATTTTCAATTGCAAGTCATTGGCAATTACCTGACATTCCCAAGGCATTCAACTCCAGCTGTAGTTTTAACCACAGAGGTTCCTGAAACAATTCCACAGTCCTGTTGCTGCTCACTGTCAGAAATCCCAATCACACTGTACTTTTGTCTAACTGATGATGCCCTAGTTGGGTGGGAGGTGGAGAGGAAGGACCAGTTGGCAAGGAAACAGCTGCTTCCTTCCTGAGCCAGGGAAAACTAGGAAGGTGACTGATGGGCAGAGCCAAAAGCAGCCAAAAGTTGTTCTGGCTTCTTGTTGGCAACAATATCCACTGTGGCACAACTAGATATTTTAAAGCATATGAATGATAAAGTTTTATCTGCCTGGATGCTCTGCTGAAACTCAACAGGATTTCCCACACATTTTCAACATCTAAAAAGCATTTAAGTGTGCAATGGTTACAAGAATCTGGCCTCAGTCTATGTGCAGTGGGCTAAGACTGCAAGGCACTGTTCCATTTAACTTTAGTATTATACCCAAGAGATTGCACTTTCTGGTAAAAAAAAAAAATTCATTTTCTGTAGAGTAGTTATATTTGTACAACTTATTAGAAATACTATTAAATTTCATTTGGAAATATTTTCTTAAATGTTTACCTTTATGTTTAATTTTAAACGATTTGTTGCAAATGTTTATATTTTATTCTTTTATCAATTCCCCTCCCATTCACTTCTGTACCCAGAAAATTGAATATCCAAGGATTCCTGAATAAAACAAGACAACCACTGGATTGATATAACTAACATATTTTAAAAATAGCGTAAATAGTAAGTTATTGTTCATCAAATAGAAATTAGCAATCACTAAAAATAACATTAAAAATTAGTGTGGGCATGAAGTATGGAATTTTAAAACATCAGTTTACTGCACTGATTAATTCAACATTTATATTTGCATCAGAACTTAATAATCCCATAAATAAATAGAGCTCTCAATTATTTTTTTTAAAAAAATCAAGGGATAACATATGTATTTAGACATATTAGCAGCGTAAAGATGTATGCTTCAACACACTTATTGGGAAAACGTCTGAAAATATTACTACACTGAAGTAATCCGCAGGAACCTGACATAAAAGTTCTCTAGAATACCAACAGTTCAGTTCAGGAAATTCCAAAAAAGGAAAAAGGGTCAAATAGGAAATAGCCTCAAATTAATTGACAAAGTTCAGTGCTTGCTCCAACTTGATTTTTCTCTCCATTGCAAAAAAACCAACAAAACAAAACAAAACAACCGAGTCTCGGGGATAGGAGGGTGAGTCACTTAGATGAAAGTTCATCTACTGGAATAAATGGAGAGGCCGCCTGGGCAGGTGACACCGGGGAGTCGGTGGTAGTGCTGACTTTCGCTGGCGAGTTACAGGACGATCCAGTACTGCTGCTGTTCCCATCCAGGGCGTCCGAAGACACACACACCCCCGGATCTGACAGCTGTGCGACGTCAGAAGACAGCATGCCCTGGAAAAATCTCTTTGGCGGATAATCAGTCTCCATTTCACATTTTCTTTTCAATGGTCCAAGAACACTTGGTCTAATGCAATTAATGGGGCTCTGGCTTCTTCGAGTCGTAAACCGGGTCGTTGGGCTGGGAATCGGGCTTGGAGGCAATCCATTGCTACTCACAAAACTTTGCAAGGATGGTGAAAAGCACTGCTTCCCGATTCCCCGGGTGGGAGATGGTGCCGGTGACACCGGAATGAAATCGATGCGCTTCGGGGAGGCGGATTTCTCCACGTCGTTGTCACTCAGGCTGAAACTTTCCTCCCAGGAGTGGCTGATCTGCATGGCGTTCTGCACCTCGCGCTCGTGGACGGTCTCTCGGTTGATCAAGTCCATGCCCTCCTCCTGTTTGATCTGGTGCAATCGGCTGCTGTGCATACGGACCGGGGAGGCTGGGAGCAGCAGGCCATGGCGGTTCGGGAACGTGGTGCTGTTGCGCCTGGCGCTCGGCGCCTCGGCCTGGAACACCGGCGAAGTGTCACTGAGGCCGTGGATCAGAGGGGCGCTATTAGACCTCCGGAGGGCCCCGCCGCCGCCGCTGCCGCCGCCCTCCGCCGGGCTCCCGCCCGTGCCCGGAGGCAGCTCCAGGTCTAGCTCCATCTTTTCCTGAGCCATGTCGGAGGCCAGGGAGGCGGGGCGGTGCTCAGTCAGAGAGGGAG